TTCCCCAATTTCTTACTCCCCTTGGGTCTCAGGTCAGAATGTCTTTCATTTTGGCCAGTGTAGAGGACAGAAGTGGGATAGTCATTGAGGATGATTTCCAAAAAAAACTAAATTTCTTTCTCTTGTGTCCCGTTTCCCTTCCTTTGAATACACTCTTTAGGACCAAGCACACCAATTATTATGCTCAGCTTACCTCTAGAGAGAATAAATTTAGAGCTAAAAAAGAAATAATAGTTAGGTTAATACTTTCCTTTCTCCTTTCCATACTCCTACCTTTATTGACCTCTTTTTAAACACTCTGTGGGAAGGCTAAAAATGCCGAATGCTCTTTTCCATTAAAGGTGAGAAGTCAGACTAGGTGTGTGGGTGTGGGTCATCCTGTCGCTGTTCCCTCTCTCCCTGTTGGGGTTGAGCTTGGTTTGAGGACCTTGGGTATTCATAGCATCATGGACACACTTTTTGGTTATGCCATGCTGTTTTCTTATAAGTTATTTTCCGTTTTCTCCCCTTCACCTAGACTGGCCAGAACGGATATCTAAATGACATCAGGTTAGTACCACTTAGCATGTTCCCTGCTTCTCATTGAGCTTTGTCAGTGAGGTTAATATAATCCTGTAATGATGCTTTTCTTTGATGTTAACCAACAGACTCTCCAAAGAAGCCTTTTCTTCTAGCTCTCACAAGAGAAGGCAAATTTTTAGGTACCTCTGTTTGGTCTATATCTCTCCTTGTTTTTTTGTTTTGTTTTGTTTTTTTAATTTTATTTTGTTTTGCTCTAATCTTTTCAGCGGAGTGAGTTTGCTCCATGCATGGCTGCTTGTGGAATAAGTCAATTTGTGGTATTTGCAACATTGGATATTTTTCCCCATTAGAAAAAAAATGGCTATTGCTCAATGACTTTATTTTTATTGTTGCTGATTTCATTGTAAGTCCTGGATAGGTGGTGAAGGGGACCAAATAAGTATGTCTAGGATAGGTACTGCTCTATCCCAGAAGTTTGCTGGAATTGGGCATTTCTGGAGGATTTCAACATATATATATATTGAGGTAAAAGAACGGGTGTCTTCTGGCTACCTTTTCCGAATCTATGGAAAGATGTGAAGAGTTTATCCCTGACCCGGCATAGGGAATGTTTTGTATCCTTAAGAAAGAATAATACACACATCCATATAAAAAAACATACAAACACCTCTGTCTATGTAGTTTTCTCTTTGGGACAATGTAATGCGTAAGATGATCTCAGAAAGAACTTGTCTGCCTTAGAATGGACTTAGAGCATGTCTTTTATATGATTGTCCATGGTTTATTCTTAATGTTGGTGAAGACTGCTGTACTAACCTCTCCAGTGCCTCATATTCTCCATTTTCCACAAAGCAGTCATGAGAATCACCCTTTCCTCTCAGTCTCTCAGTCCCACCCCAGACAATTACACAAGGCAGTGGTGAGAGAAGCATTTTAGGACCGCATCCTGGCACTAACTCATTTTAAGTATATTCTTTCCGTGTTACCAATAGAAAAACTATAGAGTACAGAAAACCTGAGTATTTAATACTAGGATTCAGGTCTCACTCTTTTCAAAGGGTTTATCTCTTTTTCAATCCTAAGCTTGGCAGGAGCTGACTAACATATATTAGTTAGAGCTCTCATTCCCAGTACTTTAGTAGTCCTTTCCCTGTTGTCCTTTCTAAAGCTAGTTAAATCATGTGGAAATTGGGATAGCAAGATTTCCCCTTCTTGGGATGGAGGATTTATCTACCTTTCCACATCTCTGAACTGTTTTTCCTGGAGCAGGCTGCCCTGAGGTCCATCTGAAAGCCCAGGCAGAAGGGCTCTGCATTGGTGGTGGTGGTCGAGATAGATAGTGGAGTCCCCCTTAAAAAAAACAATCATATTCCATAAACATCCCAGAATATCTATAGTAAACAGAAGTTTTAAATTAACTCCTGCATGTGACAATGCACAGTGCTTTATGGTTGCCGAAGTATACTGTATCTGATTGAATTCTCTCAGTATCCTGATTTGGTAAGCTGGTTTACATGTAAGAAAACAAAAGCAGAGAGATTAAGTAGCTAACCCAAGTTTACATGGCTATTAGTGGCAAAACTGAGACTGACTCTTTGTCCCGTGTTCTTTTCACCACACTACACCAGCTCCCTACAAACATCACCCCTAATTAATTCACTGCTGAGAATGACGGCCTTATTAGTGCCATGGAGCATCAAACTACATCAAACTGTGCAGACAATAGCTTGAAGGATCTAGTGAGCAGGTGCAGTCCTCTCCTATCCAGACCTCCTTTTAAGTGGCTGCTTTCCATACTGAGTTTTGATTAAAGATCTAGGTCATCTAAACTGCAGCTCCATTGACTCTTAAGGGGGTAACTTCTTCCTCTATTTGGGTACTAGTCCAGAACTCAAATGATTAGAAGCAGATCTTCTCTAACTGCTTTAAACCTTTCTTCCCAGGTGTGTGAAACAAACGCTCATAACACCAGATTCCATCATCCACATTGGCAGTAACTATGGCAACTTCCCTATTCTTTGGAAGATTCTACTCCACTGATAAATAAGCCACACCGAGGCTTACTGATATTTATTGTCACCTCTTCCACAGGCCTCTCTACCCCAGACCCAATAAATGGAACTTTTCACCAGCACTAAATTCACTTGTAGAAACAAAGTCAGCTCCTGATTTCATAGGACTGTGAAGTGTGAATGTCCTCTGTCCTTCACCTCCATAACACAACCCAATCCACTGCTCAGAATTAAATCTGGTAAACTTTCCCTAACTGCCTTATTTTTAGTGAAGTACAAAACCATGACTAGAGATTAGGTTTAGTTGTAGAGCAAGAGAAAGAGAACTGATCTCTCTTCCTAGCCCAGACTCAGATTCTCTAATTCTCAGGGGTGTAGTGTACTAACCCAGGTAAGTCACAGGATCATCAGGCAATCCACATTTGAGCATTTGGCCATTACTGTCTTCGGGGAATTGGATCAGTACTTTGGCTCAAGTTTCCCAGAGTGTTTGGTTTAAAGTTGACTCATTCCCTGTCTATCCCTGGTAGAAGAAGAAAATAAATGGCAGAATTGTCCTAATAGAAGTATAGTGTTTGATTTAGGTATAAAAGGCCATTAGGGCTTGTCTTGCAAAATTCAAGTTCTAATGTCTAATGAGCAGCCTCATTCATTGCTACTGCTGTATCCCCATATCACACAAACCCACACATCTTTATTGAGTCTGCTCAGTAAACTTGAGCTATTGGCTCTCACTTCAGGTCGTTTCTACAACTGGAGAGTCCCTGATTTATACTTATTTCTTGTTTCCCATTCTACTTTTGACATCCCCAAGAGAAAGGGGTAAAGTATTTTCCAGTCCTCTATTCTAACTATACAGAGAGAAGCAATGAGATTATATATACATCTACTTGGGATTCAGAGAATTAGCATGTCCCTAACCAGCTATGACAGTGTGTTCTTAGCCCACCGTGATTGGCTAAAAACTAAAATAGTGATCCTAGCATATATTTTGCCCATTTTCCCTACAGTACCTTTGGAATAGATATTCTAATAAAGGAAGGTATTTTCTTTAACATTAGTCCCTTAAGAAAAATACCTTTCTTTAGTAGAATAACTCTGAGCCTAATGTCTTGGAAGCTACCGGGGTTGGGATAGGGTTTTCTATTTGCTTTGGGTGGGATGGTGGTGGAAAGAAGGGAACCCAAGCTACTATGATTGTTGCTCAGTTGCCCCCCAGTATACATACCAAAATCTTTATAATTGTCATTTGGTTTTCTTAGGTCATTAGTTGTTGGAGGGTGGGGGATCTGAAAGGAAAATTCCTGGTTCTTGGTTGCTTATTGATTAAGAAGCAGTAAGAGTTCAACAAGACTTAGGGTTTTCAGGCTAGCCTCATATATCTTGAGGAGTACAGCTGTTTAGAATCACAGACAGTGATTTTAGCATCAGGATAACCCTGATGTTTCCAGAGTAAAGTAAGAGAGGATGAATCACTTTTCTCAATAGCCTTGTGCCTTGCCTAGGGCAATAGGGTTATTAATATGGAAGCAACTAGGCACAGTCAGCCCCCTGCTCTTTGCCATCCTGACTCCTAAGGGGATGTTTGCTTGATCTTGCTGAGGATGTCAGCCTTTAGAGACTCTGGAACCAATTGTTCTCAGATACTAACACAAAACTTCCACAAAACAGGTTGGGTTGATTCCAGACTCTTAGACCGAGTTCTCTTTATCAGACTGAGTGCCCCTTTAGTCCACTATACTCTTCTTCCCAATCCTGAAAAAGTGACCGTAAGCAGCACCTCTGCTGGCTCAGATATGTGTTATATGGAAGACCTATTGTAGGATTTATCCATGTCATTGGCTACTCCTGCCTTCCAGCAATAGTAACTTCTAGGAGTCCTTTTGTTTTAAGAACTCTCAGAAGGAACTGGTACCCCTCTGCTCCCCACTATTTACTGCATGTGTGGGATCCCTGAAGGGCCAGGGGAAGAGACCACAGCCAATCTCAGCATCATGTACGTGGTTTCCCGTCCACCTCTGGTCTGATGTATTGAATTAGTTGCCAGTTCACTGTCTTCCAGATTTGCCTCTGTGCTCTTTGTTACTGTACTGGATCTTGTTGTGTCTGCTCCCATCAAGTCTTGGTTGGCCAGCCAACTAACAAGAAGTTAGTGTCCATCCTCCCCCAACCCTCACCCCTCCTTTGTCACTGAGAGAATAGAAATGAACTCTCTCGTAGCCCTTCTGCTGAAGTGGTAGGTGAGGGGTGCTCTGACAACTGCGATCTCTGCATGCAGGGGGAACCGTGAGGGGCTGAGCCGCACCTCAAGCAGCCGCCAGAGCAGCACAGACAGCGAACTCAAATCCCTGGAGCCACGGCCTTGGAGCAGCACGGACTCTGATGGCTCTGTCCGGAGCATGCGGCCCCCTGTCACCAAAGCCAGCAGCTTCAGTGGAATCTCTATCCTCACCCGGGGTGACAGCATCGGGAGCAGTAAAGGTGGCAGTGCCGGAAGGATCTCCAGGCCAGGTAACACAGCTTCTCTCCTTCCATCATTTCTTGCTTATCTTCTACAAAACATCACTGATATTTCCTTTTAACAAAACACTAACACAGCCAGATGATGGGAAATTTGATTTCTTGGATCCATTGTCCTTTTGAGTCCCTTCTCTGATTTTCTTTCAAAGCTTCTTTCCTAATAGAAAAAAAACGGATTGGGATTAGGTTATTTTATCTGATTTCTGACTGAGGTGGGACATCCCTATCAACCCAGGTTCAGGTTATGTACTAAAATAAGGATGATGGCTGCTTTCATTCTGTGGCCCCTGAGTTTATAAAGAGGATTTGTAGAGCAGAGGGAACCTTAGAGTTTGTAATACTGTAATTAACTGGTAGCAGCCGATAGGCTAGAACTTTAAGAGACACTGCTGCAGTTGCTTCTCTGGAGCCCAGTCACTGAGAAGGAGCATACGTTCCACATGCCAGCCTGGTAACCACCCTTCAGCTCTCCTGAGCTACTGTGTAACCTTCTCCATATATTTCTGCTGTGCTCTTAGCAGAGGAGTATTTAGTTCTTTTTACCCAGCGAGCCTCTATTTCACCATCCTTCTGCCTCTGATGAATCGCTTGACTTTCGTCCTAGAAGTTCTGTAGGTCTTGTCCTCAAAAGACATCAGTAGTGGTAAAGATTTTGCCTCTGTTAGGTTTCTGTTGCCCTTCTCTGTTACCTCCTTTCTAACCCCACTGCCTCTGCCTTTATCCATGCCGGTTTCCCTGCTTTATCCTCAGCCCTTTTTTTTGGGGGGGTGGGGGGCAGGGCACACTGTGCGGCTTGCAGGGATCTTAGTTCCCTGACCAGGGATTGAACCTGGGCCCTTAGCAGTGAAAGCGTGGAGTCCTAACCACTGGACCGCCAGGGAATTCCCTATCCTCAGCCCTTTTTAGAGCCAGTTTACCAATCTAAAACATGGATCTAACCATGTCAGTCCTCTCTTAAAAATATTCATGTTTCTGCATTCCCTGCACAATAAAATCCAAATTACTTAGTGTAGCATAACTTCCTGACTCCAGTTTGCCATCTCAGTCTCATTTCCAGATGTCCATCCTCCTCTGACCCTCCAACCATTTCTTTTTATTTATTTATATATTTATTTATTTATTATTTTTGGCTGCATGTCAGGTCTTAGCTGCGGCATACAGGATCTTTCGTTGTGGCATGCGGGCTTCTCTCTAGTTCTGGTGTGCGGGCTTCTCTCTAGTTCTGGTGCACAGGCTCCAGAGCACATGGGCTCTGTAGTTGTGGCACACGGCCTCTCTAGTTGTGGTGCATGGGCTCAGTAGTTGCGGCACATGGGTTTAGTTGCCCCACGGCATGTGGGATCTTAGTTCCCCAACCAGGGATTGAACCCGCGTCCCCTGCATTGGAAGGTGGATTCTTAACCACTGGACCACCAGGGGAGTTCCCAACCATTTTTTGAATATGGCATTAGCTTTGTCTCCTCTTGGTCTGACAGGCCTTCTATTCATCCTTCAAACCCATCACTCCTGCCACGTCCTCTTTAAATTCTTCCCTCTAATCCTCCCAAGAGTTATGCTTCCTCATCTTTGCTTTCATACAACTTTATTCATATCACTGATGCATCCCTTACCAAATGTAATCGTTGTGTGGATGTCCATCTCCTGTCGGAAGATCCTGTGCTGCTCAAGGGCAAGGACTGCGTTCCCTTTACCTTTTGTGTCCTCAGTTCATCATACAATGCCTGCACATAGTAGATATTCAGTAAAAGTATTTTGTGTAAATGCATACATGACTTGGAGAGCCTGGAAATGAGGAAGATAGTTGGATGAACGTGTGTGGGGCTGTGTGCACAGGCATGTGCTTGAAGGTTGCCTTCAGCAACTTTTATGAGATGCTGCAAGTTGAGAAGAAATCAAAGAGAAGACAAGTTTCTTAAGGGACTAGGAATCTATATTTTCCCAGGAAGCAAACATTCATGTTTTCAGCTGTCTAATCATGATGGATAGATTCTAGGCACTCCAGGGAAGGTACCTCAGCAGCTTCACATTTTGTTTATTTCCAGAACCAAACGTTGACAGTCAAGGTGGTTACTGTCCCCGGGGAGTAGAAACCTGCTAAGATGAGGACTCCGGTCAGCAGGACTGTTGAAATGCATCTGTGCTCATGCATGGATCTGCCCAAGACAGTGGGGGAGTGGACAGAAGAGGGATGACAAGGAAAACAGCAAGGAAAGAGGAAAGCCCTCTCCCCTCCCCCAGGGGAGGGTATGTTCATGGCTTGTGCTTACAACTCTTGCTGGGTCTCCTCTTTGCCTTAGGTATGGCGCTAGGTGCCCCAGAAGTGTGCAGCCAGGTCACCTCATCCCAGTCTGTCCGGGGCCTTCTCCCTTGTACTGCCCAGCAGCAGCAGCCGCAACAGCAACTTCCTGCTCTCCCACCCACGCCTCAGCAGCAGCCACCCTTGAATAATCACATGATCTCACAGGTGAGTCACCACTCGGTGCCAGAGCCCCCTCCGCTCTGATTCAAGCAAGCTCTGGAGGTACAGTCATGTCTCTTGTGCTGTGGGTGGCAGGAAAGATCTGTTTTTGGAGATATGCCACTCCCTCCCCCACCTCTTGTATGTGAGTTGTGGGGAGAGAAGAGGAAGGGCAGAGGTTTGGCCAAAGTGTTCTTAGTAGCGTCACCCTGGGAGTTGTTTTGCTTTATATTTCCTTCCCTTCCTCCTGAGAACTGTCAGTGGGACCTTCTACCCTATTCCACGTTTCTACTGTACTCCGTCTCCCTCTATCCTGTGTAATTAGCAAAGTGATTTTGCTCCCTATATCCATACATGGAGCTTGAAAACATCACAGCTCCTACCATAGTCTAGCTGAGTGTATTCATATGGCTGTTGACCCATAAACAAATATTTATATGTTGGGGTTTGGGGGAAAGGAAATAGCACTCATTAAAACCCCTGCCATAAAGCACAAAACCCCCCAATGTTGTCTTTGTTTCCTGAGAGAGAAAGAGCTCTCTCTTTCTCCTTCTGTTGCTGGCCTGTTAGATGTTGGTACCAACTAGGGTTTAAGTTTTGCTTCTGTGGAGACCATGCAAGTCATCAGCATAAGAATCAGATCCTATTCTAAGCTGGAACCTCCTCGGTGTTTTAGGTTCAAAGTCTCCTTAATACTCTGAGGAGAGATGCTGAGATCTTCACTTACTCTTTTCTTCCATGAATAGAGCTCTTCATGAATAGAGCCTATACTTTATCCTGAAGTATTCTCTGGTAGTCAGGAAGCCAATATGTCCATATTCTTTTCTGCTGCAGTTTAAGTTCTCATTTCACCTCCCAGGCTCCCTCATCTCCCTGCTCAGTTAGTCCAGCTTGGCCTCAGATATACCTCTTCCATAGGTACAAGAAGCAAGTCCTAAGCCCTGATACCCCAGGGAGTGGAAACACCCCAGAATGGCCCATTACGACCCCATTCATACATAGGGAAATGAAGCTAAAATAAAGAACAGTGAAGATGTAGGAAACTCTGCTTTGCGGCTTAACGTAACACACATGCCGATCATTCCAAGTCCTTCATCTCAGTCCCTAAATCAGTTTCTCTGTAGTCCTGACTTTCTTTCTTATTCTGCCACCATCTGTCTACCACCTCATTAAGTCTCATTCACATTAGCTTACCTCGCTCCATACTGAAGCATTGCATGTGTGTGTGCTTTTTTCCCTGTCTGTGTCTTAATTCAGACCTGTGAGTAAACTCTGAACTTCTCCCTCCAGTCATCCCTTACTGTTTCTGTGTGTGTGTCTCACTTTTTTAAGGTCCCAGTGTTTTTTTGAGTTTTCTGAAATGTGTGTATTTTAATACAGTTCTGTTCCCTTTTCTCCCTCTTAGTCTTCCATCTGTCTCCTCCTTCCATCCATATCTAGAAACAGACAGCAAGAGTGGGAGGGGGATAAAGAGATAAGTAAAGAGACTAACCAGTGGGGACTGAAAAGCTTTTAGATAGAATGTTCCGGTAACCGGCCCTAAATCCCAAACTTTTACTCAGATTCTGTCCCTGCTTCTGAATCATGAGGGTCAGTGGGTCAGTTCTTGGCATTGATTGATCATCCACAGGCAGTACAGTGCTAGGTTAGGTCCTATAGACTGGGGACAGGGGAACATTATTTGGTACAGAGATCTCAGAAATTTATTCTTGCAATTAATTGTGATCACAAATGCCAAACTAAAAAATCTTATGCTTGGTTAAGTTTTGGTGTCTCTGAAGCACTTATGGTAGCTCCTAATATAATACCATTATATTATTATATAATGGTATTCTCTTTATCCCTTTATATTCTCTTCATCCCTTTCTTCCTCTTTCTACTGCCTTTTTCTTTCTTCCTTCGTTTCTCTTTTTCCCTGTCTCTCAGCACTGGTAGCTCTCCAAACTCAAGTTGCTGAGCCCCAGAATACTTACTGTTTGGTTTCTCAAATGGTACGTAACAGTGAAGAGATGGAGGAAGTGACCACACACGCACATATACTACTATGCTTACTCTAAAGGTTTTCCTTTTGAAGAAAAACCTTTAGCTCTGTAGCAAAAAGCGTTTGCTCCAGGCCTGGGGACAGTGCTGGCTAAACTATGCTCTTTCTCTTCTTGGAAGGCCTCTGCCGTCAGAGTAGGCCTCCATATCACATATCAGTAGAACATTTGAAGCCAAGGGGTGAGACTGAGGATTCAAGGACCAGTGGCTACCTTTTGCACAATTAACTTAGAGTAGACCTCTTGAGAAGGAGTCCGCTGAGCCTCTTCATGGAGTCCAGTCAGGATCAAAGAGCCAGTGATCTAGCCCAGAAGTCACCAGTAGGTGGCAGTCACATCCCTCAGGGCCAGTCTTTGGCTTCCCCGTGGTTTTTTGAAGTTCCCTAACTGGTGTTTGAGACTCTCTAAGAAGAGACCTGTAGCTGAGAGTAGTGGTAGAATAACTTAAAAATAGCACTGAGACGCCTGCCTTTACCACTACCCTTCCTCAGTTGGGAGAGGCCTAACAGAGGAGCATCCTTTTTCTCTCTTCACTTTTTACTCAGAACTCACAAATGTGAGGAAGAACAGGCAGAGTTGTTTTACCACTTCCCTGTCCCTAAGGCCTCCCCTTGTCCCCCAGAGAATGTAAGGCCTGAAGTATGGCAGGCCCTCCCCCAAGAAAGAAGTAGATTAGGATAATAGAAAATGGGTCTAAAAGTTACCAGCACAAGTAGCTCAGGCTGAGCAGCTTGGCCAGCAGTTATATTTGGAATGCCACTGGCTTACAGAAAATAGGTGTGCCAGGAGAGCCGAGAGCTTATTTTCAAGGCTGTAGCATTCTCTCTCCCACGTCACACAGTGGATTCTCAGTAACTTTTTCCTAGCCAAGATGACTTACATTTTATTTAATGCAGATATCAGGAGTATTCTCCATCTTGGATGTCTTCTAATTCCTGGACTCTCTGCCTCTGGAACTGTTAGTCCCCTCTGTGAAAGCCTGTCCCAGGAGATATGTGGCAGGAGAGTATTGATACCTTGGTCCCCCACAACTCTTAATACTCTGCTTTGGAAAGAGGAAGGAGAGTTACACAAACAAAAAGATGTTTATGTAATTTTGTTTGACTTCTTCCTTTACCTCCTCCCTACTGCTAGAGCGGAAAGAACGTATGTCAGGCAGAACTAGGTTCCCATCCCTGCTCTGCTGCATTAGCTGTGTGATCCTGGGTGTATGATTTAATTTCTCTGAGCCTTACTATCTTAACTGCAGATACAAGTTATCTTATCTCCCTATAGGATTATTGTGAGGTTGTAATGAGATAATGTATGTAAGTGAGGCAATGAATATCAGTGTTATTTCCCCGTCTCTTCATAGCTTCTCCAGAGGCTATGACTGGAGAACCGATGAGGTGATTGAAATAGCTAGAGGGGAAGACGAGAGAGAAAAAAATAACTCCCCATTAGTTGGTTTAGAACACACCATGTTCCTAATAAGCAAGTCCTCCTGCTTGAGGCTAGTGAAGGGACTGAAGGAACAAAAGCTAAAACTAGGCTATTTATATTTTATTCTTAAATTCCTCCGTGTTTGCTTATGGGAGCATTTTTCATACTGCCCTCACAGCCTGGAGGAGCATAGAACAATCACTGGAGCAGGAGGAAGTAGGTGTGAACTGGCTTATTTTTCCTTCTCTGCCCTTGGGAGGCTGATGATCCTTGTGAATGAGCACTTCCTTCAGGAAAGCTGTGGTGTGAAATCAGGAGCATGCCTGGGAGAGCCGAGCCAGACCTTGGATGACCCTTCCTACAGAAGCGGGAATCCCTTCTCACGTGGGCATTCAGGGAGGGTTATGCGCCCCAGGAATCCTATGCTCAGGAAAAATGCTTGGGGAAAAAGCTGTGTTTGGGATCAGGCGGCAGACCCTGGCTCTGAGATGCTCACAACAGCTGCAGAGTTCTGAGTGGCTAATGGGGCAGAGTGTGCAGTGCGTCTGTACTTATAGGAGAGATTGCTTATTTGTCAGAGATGTGAAAACCATGAGCTGTCCTGGACTTGGTCTCCAGTCTGCTCAGAAGCCTTACTTTTCATGTGAAATTTCTTTTATGATTAACCTTGTTGTTCCTTCCCTTTCCCTCCCCATCTCTGCCCCACCCCCACCCCTGCCTATGCCTCTCCCTGTACCTCCCTTTTCTCTTCCCTTTCCACATGTCTCTCTGCTGGTCCACAGCCAGTCCCGGCTCTGCAGCCCTCTCCACAGCCTGTTCAGTTCTCTCCAGGCTCCTGTCCCCAAGTCCTTCTGCCAGTCTCTCCGCCCCAGCAGTACAACATGGTATAAACTCCATTCCCCCTTTTTGTCTTGTCCGTGTGTGGCCTGTGTCTGGGCGTGTCTGGGTCAGTCTGTGACAACCGTGCAAAACAGTTGTGCTGTTTAGAGGACCATTGTTAGAAGGTATTTCTTCTTGAGGGGCCAGCACAGGCTGAACTATACTTCATTCTAGTGACCTCATAACAGTACTTTAGGCATCAAAAGATGCCTAAATGTAAGACAGAGAAGAACACTGAATTCCCCTGAGTTTCAGGACAGGGAACAAAATCAGATGTTGGTCTAACCTGGGCTCTTCATCCTCTCTACCATGTGCATCCTTCATCTCATCTGCTCCCAGGACATGTCTGAGGAACCCAGTTTATTCTGTACAGAATGATTCTTTATAATTTCCTTTAAAAATAAAAACACAGGGACTTCCCTGGTGGCACAGTGGTTAAGAATCCACCTGCCAATGCAGGGAACACAGGTTTGAGCCCTGGTCCGGGAAGATCCCACATGCCACGGAGCAATTAAGACCGTGCACCAGAACTACTGAGCCTGTGCTCTAGAGCCTGAGAGCCACAACTACTGAGCTGCGTGCCACAACTACTGAAGCCCTCGTGCCTAGAGCCCGTGCTCTGCAACAAGAGAAGCCACTGCAATGAGAAGCCTGCGCACCACAACGAAGAGTAGCCCCCACTCACCACAACTAGAGAAAGCCCATGCGCAGCAATGAAGACCCAACGCAGCCATAAATAAATAAATAAATTTATTTATTTTTAAAATAGTTGCAGATTTCTCTGGTACGACTGGTAAAAACTTAAAATGTTCCCCTATTTTACTATATTATTTTACATTAAAAATATCCTCTTCTGTTGAATAGCACATGCTGTTTAAATTGTTCGTACCCTGACTACAAATCCTCTGAAGATCTGATTTGTCTCATAGTTGATAACTTCTATCATGGTTATAGGAGCCCTGATTTTTTTTTAATTTTGTGTTAATCACACCTGTCTGCTTTTTTACTAGAAACCCCTCTTTCCTCCCATCTCTTATCTCCATTCTGAAAAGTTCTAGAATATGAACCTCAAAATAGTAACTGCAGTCCAGTCCTCCTGTCATCTATTCCTGCCCACTAAGGTAGCAAAATAGCTAAGATCATATCCCTGAAAAGTGAGTGAAACCACAGGAAAGCATTATCTTTTGTTTCTACTAGTTTCATTTGCAAAAGAACTTCTGCTCTGCGTGTGTATGTATATGTGTATTTTGATTACTGTCCATGGAGCAAAAAAGATGAGGAAGTTAACAGACTAACCTATCACCATACAAGTGAGGGATGGAACACCCTCACTCTTTCTGCTTAGAGAAGAGGGCTGAGAGAGAAGGCAATTACAGACCAGCCAGTCAGTCTCGCCCTCCAGCTGGCCACTCACCCTGGCCTCCTTGCAGAGGTGAGAATTGGAAGTGGTTTCTGAAGGGCAGGAGAACTCTAGGCAAGTGTCAGAGAACAGGGGTGGAAATGATTGCAAGAGGGAGTAAGGAGATGAGCAGCAGGCGTTGGGAGCCCACCAGTCTTTCCACTGCATAGGCAGAGCCGGGGAGCCACATGAACCCACCCATAATCCACGCAAGGTGTTATCTGGGTCCTTTATTATAAAAACGAGATTTATGACAATGTAGGGGCCCTTTGTATGGTTGGAGGCATGAGGAAGACAGGAAATGGAAAGATTTTGTAGGGTTTTTTCCCTACTAATTTGTCCTGTTTACTCTATATATAGAAGTTGTGTCATTGCTCCCATCTCCCCAGGACTAATTCTAATAAAGTTCATAATCAGAGTGACCATTGTTACCCCATATGTGGTAGGGAGACTGGGTCTGGAGTTGGGCTTCAAACAGCTGTTCAATTCATAACAATTTAAAACACCCTATGAGGGCTTCCCTGATGGCTCAGTGGTTAAGAATCCACCTGCCAATTCAGGGGACACGGGTTCGAGCCCTGGTCCGGGAAGATCCCACATGCCGCGAAGCAACTAAGGCCACGCGCCACAACTACTGAGCCTGTGCTCTAGAGCCTGAGAGCCACAACTTCTGAGCTGCGTGCCACAACTACTGAAGCCCACACACCTAGAGCCCATGGTCTACAACAAGAGAAGCCACTGCAATGAGAAGCCTGCGCACCGCAACAAAGAGTAGCCCCCCGTCGCCACAACTAGAGAAGGCCCGCGCGCAGCAACGAAGACGCAACACAGCCAAAAATAAATAACTTTTTAAAAAAACACTTGTGAAAAAAAAAATAAAACACCATATGACAGAGGCTTAGGGCTAAAAAGCACCTCCTAGGGCACACATGCAGGAGTGTCCCAAATTGGTGTAAGGAAGGAAGGCTGTAGAGAGGGCTACTATTTCTATCTGTCTGTGATAAAGCCAAAGACCTGGGGTTTGATATGACCTCAGTCCTTGGGTCTCCCTCACTCTCTCAACAGACAGATGATCTCAGCAACCCCTTTGGACAAATGAGCCTTAGCCGCCAAGGTTCTACCGAAGCAGCTGACCCATCCTCAGCTCTGTTCCAGCCCCCACTTATCTCCCAGCACCCTCAGCAGACTAGCTTCATCATGGCTTCTACAGGACAGCCCCTCCCTACTTCCAGCTATTCCACCTCTAACCATGCACCACCTACTCAGCAAGTCCTGCCACCCCAGGGCTACATGCAGCCCCCTCAGCAGGTGAGTGGCTTGGGTTCCCAGTTTAAATCACTAATTCAGGGACTTCCCTGGTGGTCCAGTGGTTAAGATTCCGTGCTCCCAATGCAGGGGGCCCAGGTTCGATCCTTGGTCGGGGAACTAGGTCCCACATGCTGCACCTACAGCCCCCGTGCTGCAACTAAAAGATCCCACATGCCACAACTAAGACCCGGCGCAGCCAAATAAATAAATATATTTTTTTAAAAAATCACTAATTCAGTTTGTCCAGTATTATAATCCTTCTTTCTTCCTCTAGTTTAGACAAATCAGAGGGGATAACTGTCCCCTACCTACCTCCATTTCCCCACCTTGACTTGAGAATTTTCTTTCTAGTCAGAAAGCCATCTTTCAAATAACACAAGTCTTTCCTGTTCTGTTTCAAACTTGTATACGAATGCTGCAATTGCAGGCCCAAAATAGCTCCGTTTACAGATTTCTGGGAATTAACCGTGATGTATTTAATAGTTTGGGGATGTTGAGGCTGAATTTGAGGGACTTTCTGATACATCTGTTTCCTCTTACCATAGATCCAGGTTTCTTACTATCCCCCTGGACAGTATCCTAACTCCAACCAGCAATATCGACCTCTCTCTCACCCGGTGGCCTACAGCCCCCAACGTGGTCAACAGCTGCCTCAGCCATCCCAGCAACCTGGTAAGAGGAACCGCTGATGTATGAAGGTAGTGAGTAAGGGAAGGGGGTAGACTGGGAAAGAGAATTACCTTTGCTGTTTAAAAAGCAGGTGGGGGGGCTTCCCTGGTGGCGCAGTGGTTGAGAGTCTGCCTGCCGATGCAGGGGACACGGGTTCGTGCCCCGGTCCGGGAAGATCCCACATGCCGTGGAGCGGCTGGGCCCATGAGCCATGGCCATTGAGCTTGCGCGTCCGGAGCCTGCGCTCCGCAACGGGAGAGGCCACAACAGTGAGAGGCCCGCGTACCGCCAAAAAAAAAACCTCATCAAAGAGGAGGAGGGACTTCCCTG